ACTCGATGACCAATTAGTGCTTACTGAACCGTAGCACTATGCAAATGTCATGTGGCGTGATTCCCGGCCGACCAATTAGCCATTACCAGCCTTAACGTTATGCAAATCTGTGATTCCCAAGCCATAGTCTTATGCAAATCATGCCGTGTGGCGTAATTGTCTGCTGACCAATGAATGGCTGTACTTTCAAAAAACCAACGGCCACTTTCAACCATCTGTCGATGACCGTTACGACTAAAAAAACTTTGCTAGGTTTTACTTTCAGGGGGAGGTCTTATATTTCGCAATTCAGCAAAATCAGTGCTAGGTCTTATTTTCTGCGGATGTCTTATTTTCGGGGAAACACGGTAGCTGCAACTGTGTCATTGGTGCGAGTTCTTGCTATGTAAAACATAGTTTTCTGAATTTTGTACATTAATGACGCGAAATGTTTTGCTCTTTTTCTTGAATTTGTCTGGTGTTTTGAATATTGTTTGCATGTAGCATATAAGCTTAAAATCAAACTGTGGCAAGCGCATAGTGATAAAGAAATATGATTCTGAATAACGAATATACAGAAGGGTTTCCGTATAGAATTGGTTCTAATAGTCGGTCAACCAAAGCCTGGTTTTAAACCAAACCAAAGCCGAATGATGAGAATACCGCTCGACAATTTTTCGAAAACTCAAGCATTTCTGCTGCTATTACAGGGGTTGATGAGGACTTGATTANAAGATCATATATACTTAATCTGGTTCTCCAGCTCCTAAGCTTTCTACATCTCTCTCGATATTCATATATCTTACTCATTTCTCGAGATTGAGGAAAGACACGCAGACATAGACAACAGTCGAAATTTATACGTCTACAGTTTTTGAAATTGTACCATTTCGTACCATTCGATTATCGCGATGAACATGACAATGGTACTCTAAACTAACCAAACTCTTTATAGTGTTTTCGTTTAAATGTTTGTATTTGATTTACATAACTAGAAAAGTTATCTTAGATTGTTCACTTGATATGGTAAACAATTACTTAACACATTTTCAAAATTATTTATTTCTCTACTGTACACAATTTAAAGAATTTTTAAAATGCGTGACATTAGGCACTTGGTGTTTTAAACCCTTACTTAAGATAACATTCGTCATTAAATAAATCAAATACTATAATATAATATAATAGAAGGACTAGAAGTATAAAAAAATTTGATAATCTTAATGTTTGTTGTTATTCTTTGCCCGAGCAACGCCGGGCTCATTTGCTAGTATAAACATAAATATATTCAACACAACGAATTAAAATCTTTTTTTACTTTATTGTTAAAGTTTAATTATGACGAACAACATTATTATATTTCCAACAAACATCTCCGAATTGTTGGTTTAGTTTAGTTTACTCCTGCAGAGATTTTAATTTGAAATTAAAATTCTCATTTGATAAAGAAAGTTTCGTAACATTACAAATGGAATAAAGAAGATTTCATTACAGATATTCAGAAGAGCAGAAATCTTGAAGACGATTTGTGTGTTAACGAAAAGATCTCTTGCAGCCAGAATTTAATTCTGCAGGATAAAATACACGGAATCGATTTAGATAGTAAAATCAGCGAATTTCACGAAGCTATTCGGCGTAATAACGTGGGAAGGTACGGAGATTTCTGGAGGAGGGAATAAATGTCAATGCGCAAGGCATCGCAGTGGGAAAATCTGCCATTGATCGAAGCAACTAATTTGAGGCACGTGGAAATCGTCAAATCTTTATTAATTAATTAACGGCCAACGCAGACGTCAATCTTACCAATATCCAGGGTAACACGGCTCTCCACGTGTCTGTTAGCCCGAAAATTTTAAAAAAAGTTTTAATAAAGAAATAGTACAGTTATTTCTGGAACGAAGAAGTGCCGGAAGAGGTTTCAGAGAGACAACGTTCGTCTTACTAAAACGTCAAAAAATAGACAAAAGTATGCAGAATTTTGGGGGTTACACTCTTTTGATGTGTGCGGTTGATAGCGGCTTCCCGAAAGTAATAGAACTGTTAATTAATGGCAGCCAAGAGTAATATACATGTTAAGTGTCCAGAGACCAACAAAACTTCCTTGGATATTGCTAAAGAACTAATTATAAAAAGAAACAGGAGAAACATTTACGATCTCCTGATGAATGGAAAATATTAAAATTCCAAATTATATCATTTTTCCAATTGTTAATTTATTTTCGGAAAATAAATATGTAAATGCTGTATTAAATGGCGTTTAATTAAGCTTTAAAGTGTATGAACAAAATCGGGACACATACTATAATCCACACAGGTAGAAAATTCCCCCAAATTGTTTTTGCATCACATGATTTTTCTAGCCTAACCTTATCTAAAAATTCTCTAATTAGCCTCGGAATAGATTAACTTGATTCTTGAACTCGGTGCAAACGGGTAAAATCGGCTATAATTTAATACTTTTAATATTCGCTATCTTTACTTTTTGCCCGAGCAACGCCGGGTCCATCTGGTAGTATACTATAAACATAAAAAGTCCATTTAAATAAATACGTGAAGAGCCAGTTTCTTAAGCTGGTAAGCCACAACGTTTATAGAACCTGCAAAGAGTTTATATGCCAGCGTACGCATAGACACGCGACTTTTGTGATATCGCAAATTTGGCAACAATTGGCATTTTAGTAAATATCATCTTTTTCTTTCTGTCGACTGCTGTAAAGTTACGAATATAAAATATAGAGAAGAACAACTTTATGTTGTTATATTTTACATTTAACAGAGTAAAAAAAATTCAAAAACTCAAAACAGATAAAATATGATCCTTATATATTATAGTAACAACTCCAATTCTTTACAGAAAATATACTAAAATAAATAATATTCATATGGCAACGTAAGGAATTACATAAAGTATCCGAAAAAAAATTAATCTATTTTTGTTATTTCAATTTTCTACTATAAGTAAAATACTTTGTATAATAAAACCTATCCGAAAGGAACTGGAATAAAATGGAAAAATTTCCGACGAGAAGCCACATTACAGGATAACTTGTTTGTATTAATGAATAGCTGTCATTTGCATTCGAATACTTACTCTTTACTTGGGATCATTTGGAATAATTTTGATTAAACCTAATGATCAACGTTTTTACGTGTTTTCATTCGAATGTTTGTTATATTATAGTATTTGATTTATATAACTAGGAAGGTTATCTTACGTAAGAATTTGTCACACCAAGTGAACAATCTAATACATTAAAAAAATTTTTTTAAACTGTGTACGATAGAGGAATGAAGAATTTTTAGTTTAAAACGTATTAGATTGGTCACTCGGTATGATAAATTTCTATGTAAGATAACGTTTGTAGTTATACGTAGTTATANAGGTGGATCATTTTTCCCCATACGATTACACGTAAAACCAAATGATTCGTTCCAACGCGAAAAACATACTCAAATTAAAGCCAAGTAATACATTAAAAAAAATAACTGTAGTAAAAAAAAAACAAATGAAAAATGCGAACTAATGTAACGTCGTATGGTGAGTTTTTGTTCGTATCGTGGAGCAAAAATATGTTCGAATTTCATGTCGTATCCTGAAAATTTCGTATGCTGGGGCGTTCGTAACCTTAGGTACCACTGTATTTGATTTATATAACTAGGAATTTATCTTACGTAAGAATTTATCACACCAAGTGAACAATCTAATACATTAAAAAAATTTTTTTTAAACTGTACGGTAGAGGAATGAAGAATTTTTAGTTTAAAACGTATTAGATTGGTCACTCGGTATGATAAATTTCTGCGTAAGACAACGTTTGTAGTTATACGTAGTTATATAATATAAGGGTTAGAAGTAGGAAATAAGGAAATAAACTAATAATCTTAATGTTTGTTCTTATTTTTATCTGTCATATCTGCTAATATATATATATTATGGTATATAATATATAATGTAATATATATACAAATTATATGTACATACAAATAAACATAGACCTAAACATTTTTTATAAATGGCCGGATGACAAAGACAGTTATAGGTTCCGTATTCGATTTTAGTCTGGACCTTCATAATTTATAGGTCAAATCGAAATATCACTTCTATCTTTCATCCATGATGGCCGGGCTTGATTTTACGTAATGGACGAAAGTCGATACAACTATACGATGCACAACGTTCTAAATTCCGCACAATGACTAAGAATAATGGTAATTTAATAATTTGTACTTAAAATAATTATTTTAAATTGAAAGTATAATATACATAATAATTTCATTATATAGCCTACTATACTAAGGAAAAGGAACTACTATATATCCTTTTATTACGTAAGTACTTTCCTACTGCAAAAATACTGATTATAGCCTACGATAAGAGCACAGATTTTTAATTATTTAGCATTAAACTTATAATTTTTTTAACTGTGATGATATGATATTACAAAATTAAATATTTGATAATTTATTTTTATAATAATAATTTGAACACAAAGATTTATATTGAAACAACGTTTCGATATGTCATAGGAAATCCCGGAAGAATTTTGATATTTCTGAATACGGAACTGAATACGTATATTTCCTTATATTGCATGATTTATAAAAATTATAAATATAAAAATCCGAGGTAAGAGATACTGTAAAATTCATTTATTATATATTTATATTATTCACTATAATATATTACTTTTATATGAGAAAAATATGGTAAAATTTACTATTTTTGTTCGATAAAAATTATTCTGTAATTTTCATATTTAAGTCGGTTAACTTAGTAAAAAAAATATTTGTAGTAAATTATCTCATTCTAGAGGTTTTGTATAACAAAAAAATAATAAATTATTACTATTACTACATACTTCTTATGTATGTTCTGTATACTGTATATCAAGGATGGCCAACATGTCGATCGGATCAACATTTTTAGTCGATCGCATAAAATGTGGTCTGTTAAAACGCGAAATACATGTTGTAAGTTTAATAGGAATATTAAGTCCATATTTTTAACTATTCGTAATGATTGGTAAGGCTTCATAAGATATATCACTGTGTCGATAGTCATTCCTAAATCACGTTATTTTAGTAATTATTTTGTTGCGCCCTAAGCAATGCAAAATGAGTGAGTAAAAGAGGAGCAAAATTTACTATTGTGCGATGGGAAGAAATAATTTTTTTTTTTGTTATGGCATAAAATAAATGGCTTCATTTAATTTATGTTTTAGTGTATTTACAAATATATATAATTTGGAACGTTAATTATTGTCCAATAAATAAATATAACTATGTTTTGCAGAATAAATTTTATTAAGGTGAATTATTAAGCTTTTATAGAAGAACTGAGATCATTGGTGCATTTAACTCATGAAAATCATTCACATTCTACTATAAGTTGGCCAGACTTGCTGTATACATAAAAAAACATAAGATTATATATACTGTACATATATATAGTATGCATATAAGAAGTGAATTATTTTAATTTAATTAAATAAATAATTTAATTATTAATTTTAGATTTTTAATTAAAGTGATTTAAGAAAGTTATGGAGATAGAAGTAGAAAAGTCAGAAATAAATAATACAAAGAATCAAATTTTTATTACTAATTTTGATTATTTAAAATCCTCTTATGGAATATGTAAAGTATTGCAATTGGTAAGTTTGTGAATTATAAATGTAGTAAAATAATACTTTTTTATTTTTAATATTAAATAATATAATTTTGTCTTACGTTATTGCAGATATTAAATATCATATGCCTTATTTTATTGAGTTACCAAGGCACGACACACAGGTTTTCATATCATTTCCATACAGTGGGAAGATATAAAGCTGGAAAATATTATTCCAATTTTTACTATGAAGATTTAAGCGAAGATTTTTTTCTTACAATGATATCATTCTCTCTACTTTTTATCACAATACTCATTTATGTATCTTGTATTATATCACTCGAAACTTCCATCACTCTTCCGAGAACAGTTTTCGTAAGTTCTTTATAGTAATTATACATGGTATCCCAAAAGTTTCTATATATACAAAGGGGTCCCAAAACTTCTACGCGTACAAAGGTAAAATGTAACTTTATTCATAAAACATTAAAATGCCAGCATTAAGATTTGTGTCAGTGGATTGACGGAGTAAGGTAACGGAACACATGGGTGATCTGTCAATGAGGTAACTTCTAGCAGGACTTCCTATGTGGAAACTGGATTCTGTTTAGGTGTTAGACTCATGAAGAAAACCCAGAATGCTGCATGGTGGCCGGCCCATTGGTCAGGCCAATGATCAACTACCAGTGTTCAATGCTTTCATTTATTCGGCCACTGTTGGGTTTCATTTGTGTCACTGTATGGAGACTTTTGGACATCCTATAGTGTATAAGTGCAAATTATAATCAATATATTTAACTGATTAACGTTCAATCATATTTAAATTAAGTTTATTAAATTGATTATTTTAAGTTGTTATTTTTCGAGTTGTATTCATCATGTTTTATAAGATAAAGCAATAACTTAATTGAATGTAAATAATGTAATTTAATAATAATTAAAATGAATTTAAATAATTTTAATTATAATTTTTATGAATTTTATAGTATTTTGCATATCACATATTTGGATTTTTGTTTTATTTTATCGGCGGTCTTATTGTTCTTATACAAGAAACTACATTTAATAAGAGAAGTTCAATTATTGTTGCTGCTGTAAGTATTTATTGGATATAAATAATGGATCTCATTAATAATATAAAGTTACAATTTCATAATTTATAATTGTGTGATTATTCTTTAGGTAATTGCTTTTATCAACTCTTTCCTTTATGGATACAATGTTATTTTGGCTTATAAATCGAAATACGGATGGATCAACATATTTAGCAAGAATCCGTTGCCAAACTGAATATTATTTTTATCACTACTTTAACAAAGTTCTGAAGATTATGTATTTTAGTATTAACTTTCTTAATAAAACTGGCTATCGAAATTTTCTTAAATATATCAAGTGTTATATTCAGAAGAGAAGGAAAAATGCTTAAACTGTTTTCTTTTATTAACTCTTTCTCTTGTGAAAACATTTAAAATTTAAAACTTTGACAATACATTCAATTTAAAACTCTTGCAATTTATTAATTTTCATTTCTATAGCACAATATATTTAAAAAATGATACATTAAAAAAAAAAATATGTTAATTTTTAACTCACCATTTTTTGGACATTAAGGGAATTTTTTCATTTCCAATGTGGATTCGTCCAGACTCAGGACTTCACAATGGAGGCGGCCAGGTGGAGAGGGACGGATACAAAATGATCGAATGAATGATTGCATTTGCTTGAAATCAACTATTACTGAAGATGCCTCCGTGGACAATCGTTTAGCACGTTCGGCTGTTAACCAAAAGATTGGTGTAGACCAGGCCTTACGAGAGGGGCTGCGCCGCTCCGGAGGGGCATGAGGTTTAGAAGTTCATCTGAGGAGAAAAAATCAAAAAATTGTTCCTTCTTTGATTTTATTTTTCAAATAATGAAATAACTTTGGCCTTGGGTTAACATTTATACCAAATTATTTTTCTACTTCAGTATTATTATGTTATTCGTATAAGCAGGATCTTTGAAATGGATTTTGCATCGACAGCTCTACATTCTCTCGGAGAACCTGATGCAGACGGTCTGATCGGCCAATATGGTTAAGGCGTCAGATTCTGCTCAGGAATTGAATCTGAATAAAGCAACTCCAGGAATTTTTTAGGGTGGTCTATCTCAGATATGTCGAGCTTCGTTCATCTGGGGGCTTGGCCTTATCCATATTGGATGTAGAAAAAAGCCATTTTAATGCCTACCGTGCGAAAAGAGTTTTAAAAATGGCTGCATTATATGTCCTTTAATCATATATTTACATTCGTTGAATATTTTAAGCTTTAATTAAATGTGTAAATAGAAATTACTTGTGATGAAAATTAATAAAAAATTGTTATATACAGTATATTAGTTTTTTAGGTTATATACCAGTGGCCTGCGGTAACATTTGATGATAGGAGCTGTGTTTACATAAAAATTTTAAACAAATACTGGAAATGACAAAAATAAACAGTTTATTTATTTATGTATATATATATGAAGGTGTTAAGGTGTCAATTCTTATTTAAACTCCATAATGCAGTTCACAATCCTGCTATTGTAATTCCATCTAATAGGTGTGGCTGAAGGAAAACGTTTTTTGACTTCTAGGTCTAAGGCATAGGATCTTTTAAAAGATTTTTAAAAAATGAAAGAATCCTGTCATAGTTTGAAAAAATATTTTACATTCTTTTATATATCCAAGAGATTGAGAGAAAACTTGGTTCAATCTGTGAGCATCATAGCTTGTTTCGATATCTCTTTAATTTTGGCTTGGAACCATTATGTTGTCTGGCCATTACGACAGCACCGTCGTATGTTTGTGCCTAACTTTTAGTGCATTGAAATTAGTCTAATTAACTCTTAATGTGAGTAAATAGCGAATTTGAATCTCTGTTCTCACTCACATCAGTAAAGCCCACAAAATCTTTCTTCAACGTTACCATTTTCTTTTATGTAACGATATACAGTCGACATCTGAGTTCTGTGGCTGATGACGGCTAGCCATGATATAAGGGCTAAAATTAAAAATAAAACAAGTAAAACGGCAAAACCGTATTTGGAGCAAGACTATGTCTCGGAGACTCACTACTAAGCAGAATCACTTTGACGCTCAAGGCGGGTCTCGTTCTCATTCACCAATCTTCTTTGGTATCGCTGCTTTTGGGCGATATCGTTCAAACTTCACCGGCCACGATCACGAAGTCGTCCACGATGCATTTTCGACGAAATTAACCTATCCAATTTCAAAATTTCTCTCCGTTACGTGCCGGTTCATAATGAAAATTTCCTGTTTTTGAAAAAAATAATTGTGGCTATTGTATCGTCCGAAAATATTTTTTCTTTTGCACAAACAATATACAATTTAACCCGATTATAATGTCCTCGGATGTAACGCGATAACCCTAATATAACGTCAAATCTTTATCGGTCTCAGGATTTTACTGTACTAGATAATGTTTAAAAAACTACTTGTAACGACATAAAACCTTGTTTTAATGTCATATTTGAAGCACTCCCAAATTTACAAAATTAGATTACAAATTTTATTTAACAAAAAAAAAATACTACATGTTTAGTCCTAGGGTCAGAGTCCACTTCCTAGAACGACTGTAGGTCGTATTCTCACCAGCTAACTTCAGTTTGTCTGTTTGTAGAGAGAGTTCCCATTTTGTATTTTATTTTGACTATTTCCAGTCCCCTGAGTACCTACAAGTCTGGTTTTTTTTATACGCGCATGATTTGGGTACCTATTGCTCTGTGCCAAATTGCAACTCCTGACATGTACTCCTTCATACCTCTAAGCTGATAACACAGTAGGCAGTACGATTTTATAAACAAGACATAGTCTTGTCAATTATAAAAACTTACTTCGTCAAATAAAATGTGCGGTGGATATACAAAATACAATGCCTGGTACAAAATATTCTTCAATTGTAAGAATATACTTTTAAAGAAAATTATAATTAAATATAGCTTTGTAAAGAAAAGTACATAAAAATAACATAAAATATTCTGTAATTTTTAAATCTTAAAACAATCCACTTAGTTAAATCGCTCCTTACGAGTGGCTAATGGATAGAACCAGTAGAAGCGTTATACGATATTTTGGTGTGTAACATCCACAAGTCAAACCGCATGAGGTTGGTGTTCCGTAAAGCGCATGCGCAAATGAGTATAATTGGCTGCTTTAAACGATTCAAATATTTTTGAGGGAGCTATCCTGTATTCTACAATACAGCGCTACCATAGGCAATGGAAACGCTGTATTGTCGAATACGGGCTAATGCTGTAGTGTTTATAATTAGTACTACAGTATTAATTATAAGCACTACAGTATTATCCCATGGGGCCCCAGACCAGGATCATTAGCGAGCTCCTCCTCCTCCCACTTGAACCCGAGAACTTAGTGGCGAGGGACCTATCCACTCGGTCCCTACGGCACCTTTGGATATAATAAGGCAGCTAAATGACAAAAAATATTGTTTTCATTCACAAATTAAGCGCGCATTTACAAAAACATAGATTAGATTTATTAGAGACAATAGAGGAATCACAACGACAAATTTTACAATGACAAACACGATATTAAAAACAAAAACAAAATAGGAATCAATATAAGAACTGAAAGAATGACAGAAACTGAAAAACAAAGCACAAAACTCAAGAAACTATCGATTAAATTATTTTGTAGAAAATTTTCTGACTTTTGCCCAAACAAATTTTTCGATCATGTCACTAAAATTTGTTTGTTTTGTTTGTTAAATTTGTCAAATCATTTTCAATGCACAAAAATTGCTAGGTTATTTAATCGCTCCTGACCAGTTGAGTTTCTTTTCCACGTTTTCAGTGAATTTGCCCGTTTACTGAAAGACCTCTCAGCCGAAAAAAATCCAAGCAAAACGAAAAAAAAAAAAACAAAAGCTGGTCATCTTCATACAGGGCCTCCATGAATCCGGGCCTCCTGACTAGAATCCAGTCAGTCACTACCATGTGGGGTCATGCTGTAGTGTCTCACCCCTGTACATCATACTTTCCGTTAGCAATAGAATCGTGCTTGTCATCTACTTAACTCCTTTCGGGGGGAATGTTTTGAATTGAAATGAAGTGACTTGTGGTTTGCATCGGAAGTTCATACGTAATTAATCGAGATCTCCTGCCCCTAATATTTACATATCTGATCTCGACTTGCATATATCTAACAGCCTTCTCGAGATTAAGGAAGACCAGACAGGCGGACGACATTGGGCATTTATAGATTTACAATTTTTCAAATTGCAGCCCAACAACAATATAGAAACAACAGTTCTAGAAGATTCTCCCCTTGTTCCATTTAAGTCAAATCATACTCAAATCTAATGTTATTGTTAATTGTCTACTTGGACTTTACTTATTAATAGGACTTAATACTGGTGTTTAAAGATTGGCACAGCAATGAGAGTTAGTTCAGGAAAGAACAAAATTTCTTTATTATATCACCTGTAGTAATAGTTACTGTACACATATTATACGTGTTTCGGGCTAACATGCCCCTCATCAGCAGTACTACCACCATACACTAAAAAGTAACAACAATAAAACAGATAAGTTATTGTATAAGTTAAAAATTTTTTTACATAGCCATAAAAAACAATTTTAAAACTCACCGTAAATACATATTCCAATCCTGANTTTTTATCTGCTTACTTTTCTCGGCTGTTAGATCCAATTCAAATCTTGTTTTTTTTTGTTTTCACCAGCCTCAGCTGTTTTGGGCTTGGGATCTCTTCTCTTATTATTCTTTTTTCGAAATCAAAATCAAATTCTACAATTAGTTTATAAAAAAAATTATAATCTAAATTAAGGTATGTATGTATGTATGTATTATTATTATTATTATGTGTTGGGTTTAGTGGGTTATACTCGGTACACACGTGTGGCTGTGTACTATGCCGGACCAGAGTCAAGGCATAGCAACCAAAACCAAATGTCTTTTTTCCAAAAAAGACAATCTCTTTTCCGCTCACAGTTCTCAGCTCGATTTCGATTGTATCTATATAATTACATCGTAAAGGAAAGTATAAAGGTGATTGGTAGGCTTTAACTATTTGATCTCTCTTTTTCCCCATTACAGGTATAACCCTTAAAAGTGGAGCGGTTATATCCCCAACGTGATGAGAAGCAACCACATTCGAATAAATAAAAATTTCTGAAATTCCCGCAGATAATTCGATGGGATAGTCGCTCACATATTCACCTTTGAAAAATTTGCTTTTTTAGAATCCTAACAAATCTTTTAATTCGTTTTCGAATTCAATCGTTATATTTTCATGAACTTTTAAAACGATTTTGTTATTAGGTAGTAATGCTAATTTAATATATTTAAAAACTTTGAAAAATTTTTCAACAGAGGAATATAACCCGATGGTAATAAAAAATTTTTTGTATACATCGACTTCCTCGACAAGTTTTTTATTTCTTTTTATTAAAGTTATAAACTGATCTTTGTAAAATCTAGGATTTGATATATATCCCTTACTCGCTCCTCGCAATATTAAACTTGAACTCTGTTGTTTAAATGTAATATCTTGTTTCAATGAATTTAAAAAATAAAGTAGCTTTTGAGCATTGTTTCTCGAAATATGCAACTCGAATTCCTCTTTCAAATTTAGTTTTATGTTTTTATAATTTTTGTCTAAAACAAATTCTGCCAACTTGGATCCTGTTAACGAAACTATATTCTTGTTTATCCAATCGAAATTTGTCTTTTTTTCATTTTCATCGCCTGTAGTTAATGGAATCTCACATGTGTGAGTTCTGAAAGGCCCCTGGGTCTAAAATAGTAATTTTATTAATAATGTTAAATATTGTCATAAAATATTATTTCATTTTTGTGAGAAAAATAGTGTTTTAACGTGGGAAAAGGCAGATAACAGATGTTACTTCCTTTCACAGAAGTTAGTACATCCTCTGTTTTTCCCTTATCTGCTAAAAATCTCGCTCAGATTGGAACTATCTACCCCTCTTTGATTTCCCTTTCATCCGTTCACATGAAAGAGTTTCTGGCATATGATTGGTCGTAAATCCTGAGATATAGGGGAAATTTGTCAGAATTCGGGGAGTTCATCGACAGACCTGGAAGAGTCAGGACTCCATACATGTTTTCTTCCTGATGACCAACGCCCTTAGACGAGTCACATAGAGAAATTCCAGAGTTAGCACTTAGAAGTTATACTTTGATTTTGTGTACATATCGATCTCCCATGGAAAGAAGTAAATGAACTTTATCTCCAAAGTGTCCCTTGCCTACAGAGAAGAAGATGAATGACAACTAAAACAGATTGTATGTTTCTAACGATTTTGTGAGCTCTCTCTCTCGATCGCGCATCGGTTATAGTATAAGTCCATATATCTCTCGACGTGTATCCTAATTGTAGTAGTTATATCATTCTTTCATTTGATATTTTGTATTCGTTTTTATTTTCTTATGTTTTATTAAATTTACTATTGTTTGTTTATCAAATAAAATGACTCTTAATTTGTGTCTGAATCAGATCTCACACGCGTGTTTGTCCGCGGAATATAATTGACAAACTGGTGTCAGCCCTGACAAGCATCTGGACTTCACAGTTCAGATCTACTAGCGATTATCGCTCTCCTATGAAACTTTTTAAGATCAGATCTAGAGATCTGAAACTTTAGGGAACTATTCTCACCGAATAGGCCGAGTAAGTGGTACCCTTTTGCAGGTGTCCCCGGCTGATCTCACACATAGCTATAATTAATCTAAACATTAATGAATTAGAATGAATGAGTTTATTCGTAATTTTCTTTTCTCTTAATTTCTTCTAGAATATTTTCATTAGTTTTAATTACGATCAACAGAATAGCATAACTTTTATAAACCATAGAACTTTTATTATTATAATATATTTAATTAGTATACATAATAATTGAATAAACAATTTTAATGCTTTCGACAAAGTTTATAGTTCCATTACAACTTTATTTGTGACTAAAATTTTTCTTTATAATTAAAACGAACTTTTCTATAATTTCCTATCGTATATATATTAAATTTTCATTTCACTTTTTAATATTGTCTTAATTTAATGCTCATTTCTTTTTTGTTTGCAGAATGGATAATTTCAAAGCGTTGAAAAAGTGGAATACCTCTGGAAGAGACAGTCCAGAAGAAAGCACCTCGACATCGGAATCGGCTTCCTCTTCAATTCGAGTGATTCGCTTCCCTCCGAAAGAAGTGGTGGAGGGTGCAGAGGAGAAATCTGGTGAACCCGACAAGAAACGGGCGATTGTCACCATTCCCGATGAGAGCACCTCGTCTGTCATCGATTACCTGGAACAGAGATACCCAGAAGTTCCGGAATGGTTGGTGCAGAGACAGGCACGCGAGGAAGGAATGGAAGAGGAGTGTAAATCGATTCTGAAAAAGCCTAAAAAGAAGCCTTGGTGGAAGAAGCTATTCTTCTTCTGGAAGAAATAAATTAGCAAGGTCTTCTCACCGGATGTGACTTTTCCTCCCCCGAATGTGACTTCTTTTTTTACCCGGATTTGGATGTGAAATGTGCAGCGCGGACGGGGAAAATACATTCACGTTTTTACCAATTAAACGAGTTTAATTTCGCGCTGACATTGAAAGATACATATATACAAAAAAGGTTCGGATTCCTGCAGTTTACCTACAAACGTTTCCAAATTCCGAGTGAACAGGTATACCAATAGACCGGTAGTTACTTTTCCGATAACTACCTCCCGACAAATCTATTTGCGCGCGTAAACTTAAACTAACTTAAACTAAAAGATAGGAAAGGTATAAGGGGAAGTAAGAAGAACTAAAGGACAGAGGGTACCCAATTTTTCTGTTGGTTCTCCACCATTCCNGACACAAAGGTTTTCATATCATTTCCATACAGTGGGAAGATATAAAGCTGGAAAATATTATTCCAATTTTTACTATGAAGATTTAAGCGAAGATTTTTTTCTTACAATGATATCATTCTCTCTACTTTTTATCACAATACTCATTTATGTATCTTGTATTATATCACTCGAAACTTCCATCACTCTTCCGAGAACAGTTTTCGTAAGTTCTTTATAGTAATTATACATGGTATCCCAAAAGTTTCTATATATACAAAGGGGTCCCAAAACTTCTACGCGTACAAAGGTAAAATGTAACTTTATTCATAAAACATTAAAATGCCAGCATTAAGATTTGTGTCAGTGGATTGACGGAGTAAGGTAACGGAACACATGGGTGATCTGTCAATGAGGTAACTTCTAGCAGGACTTCCTATGTGGAAACTGGATTCTGTTTAGGTGTTAGACTCATGAAGAAAACCCAGAATGCTGCATGGTGGCCGGCCCATTGGTCAGGCCAATGATCAACTACCAGTGTTCAATGCTTTCATTTATTCGGCCACTGTTGGGTTTCATTTGTGTCACTGTATGGAGACTTTTGGACATCCTATAGTGTATAAGTGCAAATTATAATCAATATATTTAACTGATTAACGTTCAATCATATTTAAATTAAGTTTATTAAATTGATTATTTTAAGTTGTTATTTTTCGAGTTGTATTCATCATGTTTTATAAGATAAAGCAATAACTTAATTGAATGTAAATAATGTAATTTAATAATAATTAAAATGAATTTAAATAATTTTAATTATAATTTTTATGAATTTTATAGTATTTTGCATATCACATATTTGGATTTTTGTTTTATTTTATCGGCGGTCTTATTGTTCTTATACAAGAAACTACATTTAATAAGAGAAGTTCAATTATTGTTGCTGCTGTAAGTATTTATTGGATATAAATAATGGATCTCATTAATAATATAAAGTTACAATTTCATAATTTATAATTGTGTGATTATTCTTTAGGTAATTGCTTTTATCAACTCTTTCCTTTATGGATACAATGTTATTTTGGCTTATAAATCGAAATACGGATGGATCAACATATTTAGCAAGAATCCGTTGCCAAACTGAATATTATTTTTATCACTACTTTAACAAAGTTCTGAAGATTATGTATTTTAGTATTAACTTTCTTAATAAAACTGGCTATCGAAATTTTCTTAAATATATCAAGTGTTATATTCAGAAGAGAAGGAAAAATGCTTAAACTGTTTTCTTTTATTAACTCTTTCTCTTGTGAAAACATTTAAAATTTAAAACTTTGACAATACATTCAATTTAAAACTCTTGCAATTTATTAATTTTCATTTCTATAGCACAATATATTTAAAAAATGATACATTAAAAAAAAAAAATATGTTAATTTTTAACTCACCATTTTTTGGACATTAAGGGAATTTTTTCATTTCCAATGTGGATTCGTCCAGACTCAGGACTTCACAATGGAGGCGGCCAGGTGGAGAGGGACGGATACAAAATGATCGAATGAATGATTGCATTTGCTTGAAATCAACTATTACTGAAGATGCCTCCGTGGACAATCGTTTAGCACGTTCGGCTGTTAACCAAAAGATTGGTGTAGACCAGGCCTTACGAGAGGGGCTGCGCCGCTCCGGAGGGGCATGAGGTTTAGAAGTTCATCTGAGGAGAAAAAATCAAAAAATTGTTCCTTCTTTGATTTTATTTTTCAAATAATGAAATAACTTTGGCCTTGGGTTAACATTTATACCAAATTATTTTTCTACTTCAGTATTATTATGTTATTCGTATAAGCAGGATCTTTGAAATGGATTTTGCATCGACAGCTCTACATTCTCTCGGAGAACCTGATGCAGACGGTCTGATCGGCCAATATGGTTAAGGCGTCAGATTCTGCTCAGGAATTGAATCTGAATAAAGCAACTCCAGGAATTTTTTAGGGTGGTCTATCTCAGATATGTCGAGCTTCGTTCATCTGGGGGCTTGGCCTTATCCATATTGGATGTAGAAAAAAGCCATTTTAATGCCTACCGTGCGAAAAGAGTTTTAAAAATGGCTGCATTATATGTCCTTTAATCATATATTTACATTCGTTGAATATTTTAAGCTTTAATTAAATGTGTAAATAGAAATTACTTGTGATGAAAATTAATAAAAAATTGTTATATACAGTATATTAGTTTTTTAGGTTATATACCAGTGGCCTGCGGTAACATTTGATGATAGGAGCTGTGTTTACATAAAAATTTTAAACAAATACTGGAAATGACAAAAATAAACAGTTTATTTATTTATGTATATATATATGAAGGTGTTAAGGTGTCAATTCTTATTTAAACTCCATAATGCAGTTCACAATCCTGCTATTGTAATTCCATCTAATAGGTGTGGCTGAAGGAAAACGTTTTTTGACTTCTAGGTCTAAGGCATAGGATCTTTTAAAAGATTTTTAAAAAATGAAAGAATCCTGTCATAGTTTGAAAAAATATTTTACATTCTTTTATATATCCAAGAGATTGAGAGAAAACTTGGTTCAATCTGTGAGCATCATAGCTTGTTTCGATATCTCTTTAATTTTGGCTTGGAACCATTATGTTGTCTGGCCATTACGACAGCACCGTCGTATGTTTGTGCCTAACTTTTAGTGCATTGAAATTAGTCTAATTAACTCTTAATGTGAGTAAATAGCGAATTTGAATCTCTGTTCTCACTCACATCAGTAAAGCCCACAAAATCTTTCTTCAACGTTACCATTTTCTTTTATGTAACGATATACAGTCGACATCTGAGTTCTGTGGCTGATGACGGCTAGCCATGATATAAGGGCTAAAATTAAAAATAAAACAAGTAAAACGGCAAAACCGTATTTGGAGCAAGACTATGTCTCGGAGACTCACTACTAAGCAGAATCACTTTGACGCTCAAGGCGGGTCTCGTTCTCATTCACCAATCTTCTTTGGTATCGCTGCTTTTGGGCGATATCGTTCAAACTTCACCGGCCACGATCACGAAGTCGTCCACGATGCATTTTCGACGAAATTAACCTATCCAATTTCAAAATTTCTCTCCGTTACGTGCCGGTTCATAATGAAAATTTCCTGTTTTTGAAAAAAATAATTGTGGCTATTGTATCGTCCGAAAATATTTTTTCTTTTGCACAAACAATATACAATTTAACCCGATTATAATGTCCTCGGATGTAACGCGATAACCCTAATATAACGTCAAATCTTTATCGGTCTCAGGATTTTACTGTACTAGATAATGTTTAAAAAACTACTTGTAACGACATAAAACCTTGTTTTAATGTCATATTTGAAGCACTCCCAAATTTACAAAATTAGATTACAAATTTTATTTAACAAAAAAAAAAAATACTACATGTTTAGTCCTAGGGTCAGAGTCCACTTCCTAGAACGACTGTAGGTCGTATTCTCACCAGCTAACTTCAGTTTGTCTGTTTGTAGAGAGAGTTCCCATTTTGTATTTTATTTTGACTATTTCCAGTCCCCTGAGTACCTACAAGTCTGGTTTTTTTTTATACGCGCATGATTTGGGTACCTATTGCTCTGTGCCAAATTGCAACTCCTGACATGTACTCCTTCATACCTCTAAGCTGATAACACAGTAGGCAGTACGATTTTATAAACAAGACATAGTCTTGTCAATTATAAAAACTTACTTCGTCAAATAAAATGTGCGGTGGATATACAAAATACAATGCCTGGTACAAAATATTCTTCAATTGTAAGAATATACTTTTAAAGAAAATTATAATTAAATATAGCTTTGTAAAGAAAAGTACATAAAAATAACATAAAATATTCTGTAATTTTTAAATCTTAAAACAATCCACTTAGTTAAATCGCTCCTTACGAGTGGCTAATGGATAGAACCAGTAGAAGCGTTATACGATATTTTGGTGTGTAACATCCACAAGTCAAACCGCATGAGGTTGGTGTTCCGTAAAGCGCATGCGCAAATGAGTATAATTGGCTGCTTTAAACGATTCAAATATTTTTGAGGGAGCTATCCTGTATTCTACAATACAGCGCTACCATAGGCAATGGAAACGCTGTATTGTCGAATACGGGCTAATGCTGTAGTGTTTATAATTAGTACTACAGTATTAATTATAAGCACTACAGTATTATCCCATGGGGCCCCAGACCAGGATCATTAGCGAGCTCCTCCTCCTCCCACTTGAACCCGAGAACTTAGTGGCGAGGGACCTATCCACTCGGTCCCTACGGCACCTTTGGATATAATAAGGCAGCTAAATGACAAAAAATATTGTTTTCATTCACAAATTAAGCGCGCATTTACAAAAACATAGATTAGATTTATTAGAGACAATAGAGGAATCACAACGACAAATTTTACAATGACAAACACGATATTAAAAACAAAAACAAAATAGGAATCAATACAAGAACTGAAAGAATGACAGAAACTGAAAAACAAAGCACAAAACTCAAGAAACTATCGATTAAATTATTTTGTAGAAAATTTTCTGACTTTTGCCCAAACAAATTTTTCGATCATGTCACTAAAATTTGTTTGTTTTGTTTGTTAAATTTGTCAAATCATTTTCAATGCACAAAAATTGCTAGGTTATTTAATCGCTCCTGACCAGTTGAGTTTCTTTTCCACGTTTTCAGTGAATTTGCCCGTTTACTGAAAGACCTCTCAGCCGAAAAAAATCCAAGCAAAACGAAAAAAAAAAAAAAACAAAAGCTGGTCATCTTCATACAGGGCCTCCATGAATCCGGGCCTCCTGACTAGAATCCAGTCAGTCACTACCATGTGGGGTCATGCTGTAGTGTCTCACCCCTGTACATCATACTTTCCGTTAGCAATAGAATCGTGCTTGTCATCTACTTAACTCCTTTCGGGGGGAATGTTTTGAATTGAAATGAAGTGACTTGTGGTTTGCATCGGAAGTTCATACGTAATTAATCGAGATCTCCTGCCCCTAATATTTACATATCTGATCTCGACTTGCATATATCTAACAGCCTTCTCGAGATTAAGGAAGACCAGACAGGCGGACGACATTGGGCATTTATAGATTTACAATTTTTCAAATTGCAGCCCAACAACAATATAGAAACAACAGTTCTAGAAGATTCTCCCCTTGTTCCATTTAAGTCAAATCATACTCAAATCTAATGTTATTGTTAATTGTCTACTTGGACTTTACTTATTAATAGGACTTAATACTGGTGTTTAAAGATTGGCACAGCAATGAGAGTTAGTTCAGGAAAGAACAAAATTTCTTTATTATATCACCTGTAGTAATAGTTACTGTACACATATTATACGTGTTTCGGGCTAACATGCCCCTCATCAGCAGTACTACCACCATACACTAAAAAGTAACAACAATAAAACAGATAAGTTATTGTATAAGTTAAAAAATTTTTTACATAGCCATAAAAAACAATTTTAAAACTCACCGTAAATACATATTCCAATCCTGAGTATAAATGTATCTTTCTCGTTGTATAATTAAACATTTCACTATATAATTAAATTAAAAAATATATAATAAATAAAGGTTGTAAATTATTAAAATCTAACAACATCATATAGGAAAACCAAAACTCACATCAAGGTTCCCTAACATAACACTGTTGAAGGATGAAAAATTGAACCTTGATGTGT